CCTTCTATTCATGTATTCTTGGCTATCCGGGATGAGCCTTGTCTCGGTCAATTGTACTGACGTTTCGGCCATCTTGCTATGGCCTTCTTCAGAGCTATACTGCTGAAGAAGGCCACAGCAAGATGGCCGAAACGTCAGTACAATTGACCGAGACGCGGCTCATCCCGGATAGCCAAGAATACATTGAATCCGGCCGCGGAAGCCTACGAACCCACCTTCTATACATGTTTTTGAAACGGGTCATAGTAGGTCTTTTTTTTTTTTTGTTATTTACGGTTGCATCAACTACTAAGTCTTTAGCGACCACTATTGCTTGTAAGGGTATTGTAACTGAAAGGATGACACGATATGTTGGTAATAGGGGGTGAAAGGACGAACACAATTCAACCAACGGCACTACTGCCTTAGCGATCTCGGCCACCGGATCGGCGATCACAATAGAGTAAATGTTCCAATATGAAATAATATCTGATAGTAATGCTGATAGTAGATAATTAGTTCATGTTTGGGAAGCCAAGGAACATTGTTTGTACTACCTCTTTCAACCAAAATTTCGCCCAAGGTGACTTCCCTTGTATTTCTTCTTTCTTCACGTTCATTTCGCACATTGAGTTGTGGTCAACCGGATCGGCTAGTAGGTCTTATTACTTCAAAAGTGGGGAGAAGATGGTATGACAAACCGCACCCTTCATCCGCCTATTTACACAACATTTACTGTTACTCAAGGGTGAGTAGACCTCAGGATCGTCTTGAATTGAGAAATGGTTGGGTGTGAATCCTCGGCTATACATAAGTTTGACCTCAGGTTTCTCAGGTTGGCAAACGTGTGCCCCACTGTGCTGTTGCGATCCACTCAACACATTATTATTTAATTACCTCTGTCAAACATTTGGTGGACTCTGAACGTTTGTGTGGCGACATATTTTACTTATCGTTGTTTTTTTTCGCAAATGGCATTAATCCATCGAATTTGCGTCTCACCTCCTACATTGTTGCGAGCGCAAACAAATCGATCAAAACGAAACGTTGTTAAATATTTACTTGAGCTAATATGTCACCTCGGTGTTTTTTGACGGGTGGTGGGGACTAATAAAATTTGGCCACGCGTGTGTTTGTCATTGTCGGGAACTTGACGCAGTGTAATTTAAAATTTCCCCAGAAATGAGTGGACATTCATTGTCACTATGTCACGCATTGATGTGAACTTTCATTCAGTTTTCACTTTTATTGTTGAGATCCACACATCGATACTGATACTACGGTTGATAACATAACGTCATTGTAGATGATTATTAATTTATCGGGAACACGATAGCGTTCTAGGATGATTACAGTGATTCAAATTACATACACCCAAATAAAAGTTATATACACAAAATTAAATGCTTTATCGTTCAAGAGGTCTCAGACTGTTCGAGACTGAAAAAAAAATAAAACTAATTTTCGACTAAAGTTGTTCAAAGATATGCGTAGTGACCTGTATAAAGACTTCTTAAAGATAAATCTCTCCACTGTAATTATGTTTTAACAGTAATCAATCTTCCATTTGAAAGAACGAGGCAATGAACAACATACTCATTGTCTGCAGGGATGTGAAATGAAGGGAACGTTCAGCGACTTGGAAGTGTTGGGGATGTTTGTCGGCTGCTTGTGCCACGATTTGGACCACCGCGGCACCAACAACGCTTTCCAGGAGAAGTACGTTACCGTACCTAATATGCAGCTCTCTTTTACAATCACGTTTACAAGCATGTCTTCTGAAAAATGACAGTTTTTTTATTATTTAAGTATTCGTAGTTTATTTTATTCTATAAGTATATCAACTTTTTTTAAAAAAATGCTTCACATTAAAGATATACATATGTGTACTCTAAAATTAACTGTGATCAGAAATAGGTGACGATAAATTAAATTCTAAACGACTACTTTCGTTTTTGCCCTTAATTGGAGAAATTGTTGTTATTAGAACGGGGTCGGCTCTTGTGCTCCTGTACGGGACGACCAACACGATGGAGCATCACCACTTCAACCACGCCGTCATGATCCTGAGCAGCGAGGGCCACAACATCTTCTCGGGGCTGTCGGCCGAGCACTACTCCAAAGTGATGAAGGTCCTTAAGCACAGCATCCTCGCCACGGACCTCTCCGTCTACTTCGAGTGAGTCTCCCTTCTGCCTGTCGGGCATTCGAACGGTGGCAATACCATAGTTATGGTACGTCCCCTTTAAGCGCTTTTCTCGCGCAATGTGAGTGCATGTTTTTGGTAGGACTGCTCAAATCTGGAAACAACCTGGTCGGACCCGGGCTTATCTACTGACAAGCGGTGTAGCCCACTGCTTGTTGAGTCAGCACTGAGGGGGGGGGGGCAAGAATGAATGGCGTTCGGACGCTAGGCTCTAGTCTAGTGAAAGGAGAATATAACGCTGGCACCTGCTTGATAGTTCAAAACGTCTGCAGATCATATTTCTTAATTTGCCGTCATAAAAATTACTGATTACTAGGTAAACGCAGTCACTTTTTTAAGCCTACAAATAATATGGTTTAAAATAACAATGAGAAATTCTTATTGAGTAAAAATAATTTCCTACTTTTCGAACTGAAGTCCAGCGACTATCGTTGGTCCGTGGTCAGCAAATTGACAAATATTGTTACAGTTTGTTGACGAATCCCGCATGAGTATTGGCGAGTGACGAGTCAATAGTGACAGGTAAGTTTCATATTTGCACGTTCAAGATGTTTACTATCCATTTTAGATACTTCTGATGCGTTTAGTAGGCATTCTAGTGTAAAAAGAGAACTAATAAAGATAGTGCAGTGATAAGTGATATTTCATACAATTATAAATTAACTTAATTCTTTTTAAATTGCTTTATAACATCAAAAAGTTTTACACTGGTTTAAAAATTATGCATTGATTTGTAACTGCACATAAATGTTTGGGGATGCTATTTTTTTCTTTGGAAAGATTACCGAACTACGAGATCCCTAGAATAGGACCTAGGACAATGCCACTAAGGTCACCGCTCATGGCAGTTGCGGTCAGAGTGGTTGCCCCCGGAGCTTCGCGCAACCCTTCAAGCTCAGTTCCGTTAAGACTGGGTTCGTCTAACGTGACGCGCTGCTTTCAAACATTTGTCAGTTCTCCAGGCAAACAATTCTTCTTTGTCATTTTCGAGATTTTCTCTTTTTCTGCCGGTTTTGTTGGCACTATTTTCAATACACCACAGCTTGTCGCAGAGGACACAGATCAAACGCTCGTCGAATCGCAAAAGAAATCGCTATTGTGAGAAAAGTAATTGCCTCCGACGATACCCCGGGTATTTGCAGGCCTTAATGCACTGGATCCAGCTCGGCGAGCAGCCCTGTTCTACAGCATTACCCCTGTGCAGCCCCATGCGGTGACGACCGCGTCTCAAGGGAAATGTACCACTGGGTTAATATTCATTAGTCAAACGGGAGGGCTAGGGCAGCCGAACTAGCGTGGATGAGAATCCCAATAGTACTAAAGATACATTCAGAGGCTCTCGTAGTAATAATTCTCATGTAAATATTATACTTCATTAAAAATATGGAAGAGTATATGCGCAATTCATCTAGGCAACGAATGCCTGAATGTAATTGCAATTTTAGAATTTTATGACACTATACTGAATGTTCGTTTAGCTATCATAAACATTTTAGGAAATATCGGGAACATTACTCGGACGCCTGTATACTGTTTTTCGCTCACATGCAAATGAAATGGCGATTTCATGCAAAATGAGTTGTTACAATGTTTGGATTCGGTATTTTATCACACAACGATGAGAAATTTTCTCACTGTAAACATGAATTCCCATACTATGGTGTTTTAATTACTTTATTTTGCATTTTAATGAGAACCTACTCCACTAAAATGTCAGTACAGTGTGTTTATTCTCATTGCTTTACGATACATCAGAATTTTTGTAAACGATGTAGTTTACAAAACAATACGATAAAGTCGTGAAAAATTGATTTCATTATATTTTTTATGATTTTCTATTAATTCATAAAAATCTAATGACTTATGACATCACGATGTAAACGATAGTATTGTTCCTCCACGAAAATCATCCCAATTCAAAAAACTGCTCTGCTGTATTTTAAGGTATCTGAAGTTCTTCTGAACGTTTGACACTACGTGGTATTTACAAGATATTAAAGTATACGGATTATCCGTAGGATACAATAAAGTATTATGTAGCTTTCATAGCCTTCCAAAATTATTTAAATTTTCCGCAAAGCCCACACTTTGTCATTCTTATGGTTCAACTTCTGTATCTGTGTTTCAATATTATATTATGATTAAATTAATTTGTAATCCACACTAACAATACGCTGAATATATTTTCGTAAAAGGAAGTCACTCGCGGCTGTACAGTTGTACAAACAAAACGTTCTAAAGCACCGATTGATGATAATTTCCTGTTCATTCACTTCTCCAAAGCATTTGAAAACGAACGAGGGAATGTCTATGATTGAAATAAACTTTTAATCAGGGATGAGTATTTCTTAAATGAATATTATAAAGAAAGTGTAGTGCAGATGTGCAGATGTTTCCAGTTGTGGGGTCCTATCCCTTACTCATATACAACTTGAATTAAGAATTTCAATTGAAAACAAGCGTTTTTGACTAGAATTGATAAGAAAATATTTGTCCCGGTATATTTAAAAGAATTTGCCAAGTCAAATTAGCTACGCATTTTGGCTGCTAAGCCTCATCATATCCTTCGTGAAGACATCGACTTACCACCACGAGAACAAAGAGAACGATTATGTGAATAACTCCATTCCCCACTGAATGTAGCTCGCTTTGTTAAGCTCTCCTTTTGCTAGTTGTGATAGGATTAAAGCTGGGAGTATGGGTTTCTATTTTATTTTCAGTAGGTCTACTAAAATATAAAATGTATAGTTCGTTTATCATTGTGAATGTAATTTCTATAACTCGGGGGCGAAAATATCTATTTTTTCAAATGTTACTTGCCTTGTTTTGTTGGTACTTTTATTCGCCCTTTAAATATTTAAGGTTGAAAGGCGAGGAAGGGGTTCCAGAGTTCAATAAATTTTCGCATATTGTACTACTCCCCTATTTCTTTGAATACAGTTTTTACTATCACATACAGGACCTCTTAAAAATAAATTAAATCAAATCAAATACTCTGGGAAACGTGCACTGATATTTATAGGAGAGGCCAAATTATTATGACAAATCTATTTTAATCGTAATAAGATTTATTCAAAACTAAGATAATTGTAATACAAGATTTTTTAATAGTTAGTTTGAATTCCTTTATCTTTAATGAATATCTTTACTATCTTAAGCATAGTTTCTACGGTTCTTTTACAACTAATATACTTTGAATATATGGGTCATATATCGACGTTTGTGTCAGCATTTCAAACCATCCCTATTTGTAACTTTCTATTTTCTTCCTAACTATTGCTATTGCTCATAGATATTCGATTGGGTTAATGTTCGGACTATTTCCAGGCCATGGCAGCACAATAACACTATTTATCTCCAAAACTTCCTCACACTCTTTACCTTATGGCATGGTCCTCCATCATGCATAAAACATAATCGTCGCCTACTTAGAGGCATAGGCTTCTTTACTAGTTTGAGGTGTAAGTCCCTCTTTTAACATTTTGAGATACTGTCCTTGGTTCATCGAACCTTCAGCGCTGTACAGGTTTACTGTACCCTTCCATAGAAAAATACTCTACACAATCACTGAGGTGGGATGCTTGATGTTGATGCTGTAATGACGTGGCCCCCTGGCGTTGCGCAGGCTGCGCCCGCGCTTCTTCACGCTGGTGGAGTCGCGCCAGTACAGCTGGGGCCAGCCCGAGCACCGCCAGCTGCTGCGCTCCATGCTGATGACGGCCGCCGACCTGGCGGCCAGCTCCAAGCCCTGGCCCGTGCAGGAGCGCGTGGCGCGCCTCGTCACCGCCGAGTTCCTCCACCAGGGCGAGCGCGAGCGCCGCGAGCTGCACATCCAGCCGCAGGGCCTCATGGACCGCGAGCGCCTGCACGAGCTGCCGCAGCTGCAGATTCGCTGGATCGCCGACATCTGCCTGCCGCTGTACAAGGTGCGACCCGCCGCCCCCCCCTCCTCCTGCACCCCGCACACATCGCTTCAAATTAAATGCAAGGTGTCTCAGAACAAATGTTACAAACTTCTAATCATATAAGTTTGTCAAAAATGATAACTTATGTTAATAAACATGGAGTGAGAAATTTCATGTAATGATGTGTGGCCTTTCCCTCTCATTTTTAGGCAACTTAACGCAATTTCACTCTACATGTTTGTTGGCAAAAAGTTATCATTTTCAACTTCTCTACCACCCTACGAAGTTTGTACCATACATTATGAGACATCCTTTGGATTCTGGAAACAAGATATAACAGTGTGGTTACGGTATCTTAACGACCCACATATCACACATCTAAAAAAATCATTAGAAGTTCCCCTAAAAAAATATAATTCACGCCTGTACAAACGTGTTAATAAAAGTTCAACATCTGAATAAAAACCGGATATATCATACGAATATAACACTTTCTCCACATAAATTTTTATCTTTAAAAACGCTTTAAAATTACTGTATATTTTCTTATGATTAATATGTACTTTTAAATAGGGATGAATGTTTCTTAAATGAATATTGTGAAGAAAGTTTGTATCTTGCCTTTTTGGATACTGTTTGTTATGACATTACCTTTTTATGTACAAATTTGTCCTTTTTTGACATGAGATCTTGCAAATCATCACCCTGACCATACGGTAAGCATCAGGAAATAGAGCTGAGTTCTCTGCAGTTTCTCTTTGTGAAAGAGGCGTGAAAGAACTAGCTCAATAAAACCGTTAGTCGCTCTTTATTTCTTGATGGAAACAAATTGTGCTTGTATCTACTTGGCTGTCCGGGAGAAGCCGCGACCAAGGCACGGAAACCAACGTTTCGGCCGTCATACTGCGTCCTACCACAGGGCAAAACGCCGAATATTGCATTTCGCCCTGAAGAAGTACTCAGTACGACGGTCGAAACATTGACATCGGTTCCTAGGCCACGGCGTCTCCCGACCTGCCTAGCAGATACTGACCCCGCTCGCGGAAGCGTACGCTTTCACGAAGAGAGTCGCTTCTGTTGCAGTCGCTGGGGCAAATGAACCCGAAGCTGAGCGTGATGACGGAGGGCGCGCTCGCCAACATCTCGCAGTGGGCAGCCCTGGCGCCGGGGGTGTCCAACGGGCACGACGACGGCCAAGGCGAGGGCGACCCGGAGCCCGACAGCGGGGGCGGTGGCGACGACGACGCCGTCGCCGACCCCGAGCCCGAGCCCGCGGACGTCGCGTCCCCCGACGCCGACGCCGATGCCGACGACGTCGCCGACGACGTCGCCGACGCCGCGGCGGAGGACGAGCTGGAGCAACAGGCCGAGGAGGAGGAGGAGGAGGAGGAGCCGGTGTAAAAGAGGAGGAGGAGGAGCCGTTGACAGCGCCGGCGCGTGTCGTTTTCACGGAGCACTCTCGTCGCACGGTGGGAGTTGGAGTTGGAGGACGAGGAGAACGAGAATGAAAGGGAGCGAGAGGTGCAAGAAGAAGGGAGAAGAATAGAATGAGGAGGAGGACGCCGCCTGTTCCTCCGCGAGCGAAGGAACCGCGAACCACTGCGAACGCTGAGGGAATCAAGGCTTCAGTTCGGGGGAGGCCGTGGCCTCTCAAGCTTTTGCCCCTGACCGCCTTCCAGGTACACTTCTGTTTTACGTTTAGTATTTTTTACCAAATTCTTCGGCAAGTCAATCGTGACTCTTTTCATTTACCTTTTTTGCAAAGCTCATTGAAAATCATGTAACGAGATATTTCGGAAGGATAATTAACACTTAAGTGCGGAGTACGGGATGGAGTACAATTACATTTTTTGGTAAATGTATAGTGATTGGGTGATTATCAAATAGGCAAGTAAGTTTTCTCGGCAACGGTAGGCAACATTGCAAAGACGGATGTACATATTTATGAAAGCCTACATACATATTATTCATAACCGTGCGTACACCGATGACAGGTAAAAGACCCGAACCGAAATCAATTTTTCGTATGTGCAACAATTAAATGAGCTATATATTATCCATACAGATGCCTTAATGCTTCTTAAAAACGCGTAGAAAGAGCTTAAAACTTAGCAAAACACGTTTTTACGAGAATTCTCGTGGAATGTGTTTTGGTAGGGTTTGTATAAAATTCGTCAGTCCTCACCAGGAGATCGAGACTCGTCTAATGGCATTCACTTTCCCCGGATGGTAGACAGGACGAGGTCTAAAATAATGGACACTTGAATACACAAGCACATGAATTCCTGAAGATTTCCCGATAACAGCTTGACAGTATTCTTTCTTCGTGAGTGCCAAAATATTTTGTTTATAATATTTCTCATTCCAAATTAAGTTTAAAAAGTTTTGTTAATTTCATCAATGAATGTATGTATGTCCTTTGGCACAACTGCTCTTCACGAGCTAAGGCCTACTAAAGGGGCCCCGCCTTGCGGCCATAGGTTGAGGAGTACGTGTGGTTAGCACATAGCCATCCATATGCCGTATGCTGGTCTTCTCAACCTGAGAAGTGAATTTTTCTCATCTTCACACAACAACAGATACTGGGAGGTGCCCAGTTAATTTTTGCCCCAACAAGGATTCGAATCCTGTCTCACATTCCAATATGTGAATGTAATGATTTACGTTTTAAAATAATTGTTTTGCTTACCAGCTTATTTGCTCCTACTTGAAGTATTTTTGTTCACACAAAATTCTTTATTAATGAGTTTGAAAAGTTTTTTATGAAGATGATATCAAGCTTTGAAATTAATATGACATTGTATTGTAAAAATAACCCTTAATTTGTTGCCGGAAATACTTTTGTCTGAGTTCTGCTCAAACATTTACATGGTTTGGCAACATATACACTTCAAATTTTATCTTTAAAAAATTGTATGTATCTCGATAATTTTAAGACTTTGAAAAAAGCTACATTTATTGTTTCTTTTATCATTCGTTATTTGTTCCGAAAAGAGAATAAGTGATGTGAGAAAAAAGCTAAGAGTTATAATTTTTACAATGAGATGAACTTTTACTGTGGAAGTAATTTCTAACTATTTCCATTTCTAAACTGTTCTCATCATTGCTTTCATTTTCCTGTTTCACATTCCGAAAGTTTATATTTCAAAAACGAATCCATGGAAAACCTCAGCGTTCGCAGAATACGCAAATGTGGAGAAAAAGACTGGAACGGAAAGACGAAATGAAGACTGAAGCGTGGATTGTCGATCGCAGCAATCATATGATACACGGAGGAAAAGAGAAGAAAAGAAAAGAGGAAAAAAGACTGAAGGTCGGTGCGCGGAAGCTGCCGACTCGAAGAACGAAGGGAGCGCACCCGCTCACAGTGTCATTCCTTCTTGCCCTAACCCTGCCAAGGGCGACTGCCGGAGTTTACTGTTTGCCCTTGTCAATAGATGTAGTTAGCGTTACTTGTTCACAACGTCACTTATGTCGTCGTAAGAACCGGAGCTTGTCGATGTATGAATCGCTATGCCTCTTAAGTAAAGAAATGCATTACTTCATTGCGTCTCTGATGAGTGCATATTAAAATTCTCATTGAAATTTTCTGTCCTTCGTTTCTGAAATGTGACGAAAGTTTCATCTACAGTTCACTTTTCAAATGAGACAAATTTTCCAATATGGAAAATTTCGCCGTAAATATCTTCAGCATTCCTATTTCATTCTCAACTATATTCGTTGAATTACTGATTACTACTCCTGTTGCTGTTGCATTTGAATTCTGTAACCATTATGTATTAATTATGTAATAATTACAATTTTCATGGAGTTAACAGAGTTTGTAACTACTCCAACCTACATTTATTAGATCTTCTATTCGATAAGAGGCAGCGATAGAATTACCTTGTGGAGTTTAAAACGAGTCGTAGGAAATGCACCCGTGAACTTTCTTCTTTTAATCTTCTTGATGAATAGATAGTGAAAAAGTAGCAGACGTGAAAGTTTTTTGGAGAACCTCATGAATACAAAAACAGTTTTCTTCCAAATTAACTTAGCAGCACCCGCTCCGGCAGTCGAACGTTGGCAATGAAGCAGAGATGCGATGAAAGTTTAGACCTTCGTGCTCAAAGGTCGTAGGAACGCTCTTGAAGCACCAAACTGCACTTACGCTCTGCCGAACCCCAAACTTCGTTTGCACCGTCTGAGTCTGGTTGTGTGTATGTGTGTGTAATGTGTCCATGTGTATATAAGCAGAAGAACTCTAGTTTTGTGACCAAAGATATATCTTTCAGTACTTTACCCGTGGAAGAGATGCGTGTATTAATCTACGGTATAAGATTTTTCATCTTCACTCGTTCAAATACATATGTACTATATATAAACAAACTTTTAAAATATTTTGTTTCTGCAATATATTCTGAAATCTGTGCCTAGACAAAACACAGCTGACTACTGATGACTGCAAATTTATGCCTATCATAGTTTCGGGGAAAGTACTAAAAGAAAATAATGTATATAAGAAGATTTATTTTTTATTTGTATCAAAGATGTATACTTCTTAGAACCTTCAAGCAATGTGCCATCACTAAACCACTAGATTCTCTACACTGAAATTACCGTTTGGTACAATTATCACTTAACAGTGTATAGTGTGATCAAATAACTTGACAAAAATATTTTCATTATTCACGGTAAATAAGGTATCTTTCATTAAGAGACTGGATCCTTTCTTTTGATTCGAAGAGGCGTTGAGCTCTCCGAACTCGCAGCAACCAAAACGTTTCCAGCTCCTCGCACTAGGAGCGTTCTCGTGTTTTGTCCACACTGTACTATGTGCTATGCATGGATGTTTTGCTGCTAGCACTCGCCACAACACGGTCGTCGTTTTGTATCTCCACTAGTCGTTAGTGTTATGTTTCATGTTGTCATGATCCCACCTCACAAATTCTGTACACATGGCAAGAACTGATATTAAATAATGTGTTGTCAGTAATAGTCTTTTAATCTTCCTTAAAATAATGTTTTTTAATAATGAAGTGATGTTGAAGTAAATACTGCAACCGGGTAATTTTCAAATTCTTTTTATGTTCTCTGCATCAATTAAGCCAACTGTTGGCATCTTAAATATCATACTGGCAAATAAATCATATTGACTAGAAAAGGAAGTGGACATTATGTGTGTAACATATTTTCTGCATTGACGTTGCGAGATTAAACAGCTATTGATTGCAGTGTATAATATAGAATTTAATTTGGAATTTCCAATAATGTGTGTAATTTTTTGTTTTTTAAGAATTGTTTCAAAGATATTATGTTATAATTTAAACAGATATTTGCAATAATTCCAAAAATTATTAATACTCTTAAAATTTACTTAAAT